CGGCGAGCCAAGGAAAGCGAGTTTAAAACTCAACAAGACTCAGGGTATTAAAATCATTACTAAACATGGATCTAAGCTATATTGTTGAAGTACATTCCCTTTATGGACCTTACCACAACTTGCTAGGTGTGTTTTGGTTTTCTGGATCCCGAATGTCTGTATTAATAGAAATTCACATGGCTAAAAAAAGAAATAGAAAGTTATCATTAATACATTTTGTTTTATGTATTTATTTTTTAACATCGCGCTGTTGTCTATAAATAGCAGGTAGGTGTGAAAGCTCCCTTATACTTTTTTCAAAGGATAGAAAATTCAAAGCAACTGTGGCATTGATGGCAGTGTATACACTTGTGGTTTCATTTGTTTTTAAACTCTGTTGCATGATTTCCAGACATGTTAGAACTCAAAGCTAAGTATAGTCATTATAATTATATGTATATTGGGGTAAAATTATTAAATTTCAAGAAACTGGAGAAGTATATCATAATATGGCAGTACATTAACAGAAAAGAAAGATAATACTCATGTAAATAATTCCAATGGAATTACTTGTTCCAGAGTATACAGGTTAGGAAATAGTTCTTTGGATTCAAAGCTATAATTAATCACTGAACAGAATTTTTATTTCATACTTAACTCTGCTAAATACAATGTCTATGTAAATGGAGTCAACCATGCTTCTTTATACATATAGAGCATATATGGCCTCTCTTATAAATATACATTCTGTGTGTAATATTATATAGCAATTATATATATATATATATATATGTGGGTGTGTATCTATAGTTAGATATAGATATATAATATGTAATTCAGCTAAGTGGAATTGTGAGGATAGAATCTTTTATTATAATTTATACATTTATTAGATATAATTTATTTTTCAAAATTTGTCACTTATCTTTCCTACTCATTTCTAGCTCTACCAGGTTCTGTAATCATTTGATCTCAGTGTGTAGCACCCATGGAATCAACCCTGACCTCCATGATGGAGAGGGAATCTCAAGACACATGCTTCAGACTTGCCCCTCACCAGGCTTTGAGTGAGTCCTGAGGATTTCCTCCTTGGTCCTAAATCTCAAGATCAGTTTAGATACAATCCCACTGGAAAGAGTCCTTGAGTCACTCAGAATGCCTAGGAAAGGAGACAGAAAAGACCCTTCTTGAGGCCATCCCATTTGTTACGGTTTGAATTCCAAATGGCTCCTGACTGAAAGACTTGAGTGTTAAAAACTTGGTCAGTGGATGGTATGAGGAAAGTGATTGGAATAGGAGTAATCTCTCCTCATAAATGTGTTAGTCATTCACGGATTTGTAACTTGATGGTATTATCGGGGATAGGTGGAAATTAGGAAGGCGTATGCACACTGGGATGGAGCACCTTGCCTCCTGCTCTGTTTTCTTCTCACTTCCTGTATTCATGGGGTCAGCCACTTTGGTCCACCATGTGCTCATCAACATGAGATTCTCCTTCACCATCACAGCTAGAAGCCATGGAGCCAAGTGACCACAGACCAAAGCTATGAGCCAAAGTAAACACCTGCCTTTTAAAACCTTTCAGGTATTTTGTCACGGTGGTAAAAAGCTGTCTTATAGCCCCTGAACATTTCCCTCCCCGTTTCAGTACTTGTAGTCAGATTCTCAATGATGAGTTGACCTTTCCTCTCTGCTTTTCCTGGTTATTTATCTCTGTTGGCATCTAGTGTATCTTTTAAAGATGCAGTATTCATTCAAAGAGTGATGCGTGGTTTCCAAAATTTTATTTCTTTCACCTTGGTTTCCCTTGGGCTTTACAACTTCTGATTCCTTTCTGGATTATTACACGTTCCATCTTCAGTTTTCTATGTCCTAGAAATTCGTGCTGAGGCTCTTTGGTCCATGAAGATTATGCTTACTTCCAGAACCTTAATTTTGTGCACATCATGGGTTTAGTAGCTCTGTCTCTGGTCTAATCAACATGTATCCCTCTAGCCTATCATTATAAACTGGCTCTTGGCTCCAAATTTTTTACCTTGTCACCTATATTTATCAAAACAGTGTTTAATCTGCCTTGGGGATGGGGGCCTTCATCAAACTATGTGACACAAAAGTAATGACATAAAGCTTTAATTTGATGCCACAGACTTGTGTGACTATAGGCACTTTGCAGAATTTTCCTTTCAGTTTAGTTAAAAATGAAGCTTTTGCATAGTTTTAATTGGGCAACGTATAGCAATATGCCTACCTCAGAGATGACATGCCCCTGTGTCAGTAAAATTTGGTCAGAGAAGCAAGTCTTCAGGAATCAGACAAAATAAGGGAATTACTGGAGGGACTGGACATTGCAACTGAGCAGGTGGGTGGTGAGCTCAGCTTGGTTCTAATGTCTGGAACTGTCACATAATTATCTTTGTGTTTCGATTGTAATACCATCTTTGAGGCTCTGTCTCCTGCAGTTCCATTCTGCTTTCCATTGGACAGGTTTCTTAAGCAGTTTCTGCACAGTGATTTGCATTTGCATCTGGTGTTGTGCCTGAAGTGATCAGGAAGCTAGAGAGAAAAGGAGGAGGTGAAATGAGGCAGAGCAAGGGCAAACGGATGGAGTGGAGTGAACTGGAGTCTGTAGGGTGCAGTGGGAGCTGAGATGATGCCATTGCCTTCGAGGCTGTGATTTTTGATGACTAGGAGACTTAAAAGACAAGCTGGTACTGTGCTCCAGGGTCCTAAGAATATATCAAGTTCAAAAATAGAAGCCAGTGCTGGAGACATGGCCCAACAGTTAAGAGCATGTGCTACTCTTCCATAGGGCTAGAATTTGGTTCCCAGCATCCACATTTGATAGATCACAACTGCTTATAACTACATCTCTAGATGAACCAACACACTCTTCTGGCATCTGACAGAACCCACAAAAATGCAGCATACAGACACCCGCACACTGTCTAAGTTACTTAGTCTCTTGCTGTGATAAGATACCATGACAAAGGCAACTCATAGAAGAAAGATTTTTTTGGAACTTACCATTTTAGAAGGGTGGAGTCCATGATGGCAGATCAAAGATAAGGTGGCAGGAACAGCTGAGAGCTCACATCTTGGTCTGCAAGTAGGAGGCAGAGAGAAGGAGACTTGTAACGGTCTGAGATCTTTTGAAACCTTAGAGCCCACCCTCAGTGATCCATTTTCCCCAACAAGGCCACACCTCTTAATCCTTCCCTGAAAGTTCAACCAACTGGAGACCAAGAATTCAAATCTCTGAGTCTATGGGGACTGTTTTCATTCAAAGTGCCAAATATACAAATAAAGACAAATGTTAAAAAAAAAAAAAAGTTGAAGCCCTAGATAGTGAGTGATAAAACTGAAGTCATTAGGGTGGGTTAGCACATCCACAACAATATCCATGAATTGTGCTTCAGTCTGAAATCACATTCACCTCCCAATCTAAAAAAAAAAAAAAGACTCTACCTTCTGGATTCCATTTCATGCAGAGAAGAGAATTCTGGGAAATGTAGTTGAACCTAGATAAGGCTTAGCACAGAGCAACCTTGTGCTTTTGTCTCTCTGTTTGCTGCTGGATTCTACAGCTTAAAAGTATTGAAAACTCACATACAAATTCTGAAGCTCTTGTTTAAACGTACTAATTGAATTGGCAATCTTTGATTCGGTTGGCACAATCAGTTCAGTCCATTTGGGAGGAAATTGGGCATTTGGTCAAGGCTGAAGCCTTTGTTCTTTAAGCTGGGTCAGGCTATTTTCCTTTTGTTTGCTAGTTACTTTTCATTTGGGATTTAACACCATCTTTGAGGGTATGACTACAGCAATTTTGTACTTCTTTTAAGTATGGTGGGAGGATAATTGGTTTACGGTATTCCAGGCCCCTTTAAGCTGCTTGGGGAAATGAACATCGTGAAACCTAAATTCACAAAACTGTTCATTTAACTGTTTTACTCACACAGGCTCTTTGCCCATAGTCCTGATAAGAACACCATGCATCGCCCTGTCAAGGACAGGGCTATTTCAGCTTTAGAAAGATTTCCAGACCTTTTAAAACCTGTATGAGCTCTGAAGGTCTGGAAGAGTGATGCATTTTTCACCAGATTAAATAATACATTCAAGTGTAAGTGGCTTTCAAAGTGAGGAACTAAAGAAAAGGCCACCAGGGGAAGTCGCTCTTGCTGTGTCTCCAAGGTGACTGTCACATAGCAATACGCTTGCCTCCTGACGGGGTTGGAAACAGTGGTCTTGGTGGAGAGGTATTGAGCAGTCAATAGACGGCCCCCTTCCAAGCTGCCACTCATAGACTGTGTCTGAGTTCCTCAGAAGAGACTTCACTTTCAGGGGAAACAATATATTTCTTTGGCATTGAAATAAAGAGACCACTGCTTATATTAACCTTCAAAAGCAAAATTTACATCTTAATTTTCTGAAGATGAATCCTCTGAGATCTTATGCTTGCTGGATGTCCAAGTGCATAAGGCAGAAGAATATGATAGGCATATCCTTGACAAGTGTATTATAAGGGGCAGGAATGGGGCATCCTTCAATCCTACTTCTGCTAATTCAGTCTCCACTCTGAAATAATTTAGCATTTTCTCTGTGTGTATGCATTTGTGCACCCATGTGTTTGGAGGCCAGAAGTTGACATCAACTGTCTTCCTCAATTGCTTTTTTCCTTTCCTTTTGGCGCTAGGTAGCTGGCTACATCTGGAGCTCACTGATTTGGCTGGGCTAGTTGTCCAGAAAGCCCCAAAGATCCTCCTGTCTCCACCTCCCTAGTGTTGGATCGCAGGCAGTTATAACTGCACCCAACTTTTTGCGTGGATATTGGGGATCTGAACTAGACTCTTTATGTGTTTGCTGCAAGAACGTTCCAGACAGCCATTTCCCCAGCCTCCAGCAATTTTTCATATTTGGAATATCTAATTAAATAATTTATCTGTCTGCTAATATTCTGTCAAGCTCAATATTGATTCTGGATTTGAGCACCACCTAGAAATGATTCCAACTGCTCATTTTATTTCTATTTTCTAAATTAACAGTTTGGATTTTCCAATATCAAGTCTCTAACACATCATCAAATCATTATTAAAGGTAGAATACTGTCTTAGTAATTCATTATGGTCAAACAAAAACCTGGGAAAACCCTCCAGCAATAGTCTAGAGAAATGCGAGGGCCAGGGAGTGTAGGTATGGGCCAGGGAAGAGGTATGGAGTTGAGGTTTTTTCACTTTGATGGGTGGGGCAGTGGACAGAGAAATCCAATTTTGCAGTTTTTAGTGTGGATCACTGGGTAGACCGTAATTGAAGGATTTGAGAAGGAGAAATCGGGAGCAGGTGGGAGATGTGAGCAGTGAGTAACTAACATTTGGAGCTTAACTGCTGCACGACTGCGGGCATCTGCGGAAGTTCTTTCGGGCTTTTCCAGTCTGTATCCACCCTCCTGAGTACCCACGCAAACGCTCCCTCTTCACCATCTGCATTGGTGAGGAGAATTGCAGCTGCTTCAGCGTCCCTGCAGTTGGAAAGCCCTGGGACGCTGTCAGCATTTCAGAGTCGTTGCTTGGCACTGGGCCGCGTTGTGGGTGGATTTCCTTGTGGATAGTAATAGTGGTTTAGCTGTTTTCAGCACTTGGCATATGAAGCAAAATTGCTGAAATCAGGGCACCTGGGGGAGCATCTTCAAATCGTGTCCTTTTAAAATGTTAACTAATGAACTCCAGTTTGATGTCTTCCCAGAGCCCATGGGATTATGGGTAATGAACACCTCAAAATATAAGGTTGATGCCCTGGATGCGATGATAAAATCTGCTTCTTAGGCACTTTTAGAAACTGCATAAATGTTGCGGGTCAGGCAGCACAGTAGCTGTCATGATGTGTTGGCATCCTGTCACTCTCACACTTTATCCCCTGCGTAGGACTGTGTTTGTTCAGACTCTGAATTGCATTAAGTGCTCCTCATGCGATACAGTATTCTCAGTTCTATAAATACTGGACAAATTTTACTTGGGGTATTTTCGTGCTGGTATTTAATCTGGACTCTTGATTTTTACAGTCAGTCAGAACCAACCCTGCCTGATGCACTACATGACAAGTGAGATGCCCTTTACATCCTTACGCGGTGGCTAGAGAATGAGATTTCATGGATGTGACTCCTTCCCCGGATGTGTTATACTGTACTTGATGTCCACATACTATATAACCTTTGTGATTACCCCATCCTTGTATAATTTTGTGTATCCAGAATATCTACCCACAGTCGTTAACAATATTTGTCACATGACTTTCAATATAGTTCAATAGTAGAGCACTTGCCATCATGTGCAAGTTTGATTCCTTGCACTAGAAAAAAAATGATTATTTGTTGTAAATGTTGTAGTCTATATTTCCATTTAGATAAAAATGAAATGAGCAAGAAAATAAACATCTCTAAGGCATCAATTTAGAAAATTAAATGGAGTTTTGTTCTTAAAAACTTCTCAATATGTCATGCTTTAAAACCCTACATCAATGCCCCAGCTCTTGCCAGTCACTGGATTTTAAATTAATCAATTACATTTATTTATATTTAGTGCCTTTTTACTAAGATGGAATGATTAGCCCCAGTCTCACCTCTGGACAGTCAGGGGGTTGTTGAATTCTTGATTTAAGAGTTTTCTCATGCCTACTCCCAATTCCCTTCATAACCACCCCTTAGCACAATCTTTATTATGTCAAAGAACTTATAGTCCAAGTCCCTTCTATTGGTCAACCCACTCTTTGCCATCTTAAATCCAATTAATTTTCTCTAAGATTAATTTCTTCCTATGAGTCCTCCTGTAGCTGAAACTTTTCCTGTGTCCCACCCAGTCTGCAGCTGCTCAGACACACAGAGGCTTATATTAATTAAAACTGCTTGGCCATTAGCTCAGGCCTACCACTGACTAGCTGTTACACTTAAACTCAGCCCATTTCTGTTAATGTGTATGTCACCATGTTTTCCATGGCTTTACCTGTGTATCATTAAATGCTGCTCCCTGGACAGGGGGAGGGAGGTGCTGGTGTATCCCTGACTCAGTCTTCCTCTTCCCAGAATTCTCATTGTCTGCTTATCCCACCTATACTTCCTGCCTGGCTACTGGCCAATCAGCATTTTATTAAACTAGTGTACAAAAGCATTATCCCACATCCTCCTCCTTTTGAAAATCATCTGTAGGGTCCAATTTCTTAGTCAATAGATATGAAATTGAACCTGTTAGCCTTCCAGGATTCTGTTGATCAAGAATTACCTCTCTGATTCCTTGTTGTACTGTGTACTTCTGTTGCTATCAGGCTAGTATGTGTTCTGCTCAGTGGACCACTTTATTTTCCTCTCTTTAATGCTTTCCCATGTTTAGAATGTCCTGTGCTCTGTCTATCCAAAGTGTATATATCATCAATATCCTTTTTCTCGTCCAGTTCTTGCTCTGACTTTCCCCCGGTATGTTCTCTAACTTAATCTCTGTAGTTTAGTAGCAACTAAAACAATATTTCAAAACATCCAAGATAGAAACAAACTTTAAATTTTGAAAAAAAAGGACCCCATGGGTTTTTTTTGTATGTACTTTTTGTTTTGATATTTTAATTTTTACTCTGTTTTGACTATTTTTTTGTTCTCTATTTTTTTTTTTTTAATTTTTGAGAGGAATAGAGCATGAGAGGTGGGGGAGGATCTAGGATGATTTAGGGAAAGAACATGATCCAAAAATATTGTATGAAAAACTTTAATAAAATGAACCAAAGGCTGAGGGGCCCCCAACTGGATCAGGCCCTCTGAATAGGTGAGACAGTTGATTGGCTTGATCTGTTTGGGAGGCATCTAGGCAGTGGTACCAGGTCCTGGGCTCACTGCATGAGATAGCTGTTTGAAACCTGGGACTTATACAGGGACACTTGGCTCAATCTGGGAGGAGGGGACTGGACCTGCCTGGACTGAGTCTATCAGGTCGATCTCAGTCCTCGGGGGGTGGCCTTGATCTGGAGGTAGTGGGAATGGGGAGTGGGCTGGGGGAAAGGGGAGGGGGGCAGGAAGTGGGAGAATAAGGGAATCTGTGGCTGTTATGTAGAACTGAATAGTATTGTAAAATAAAATAAATAAAAGAAAAAAATGTTTTAAAATCTAAATAAATAAATAAAGTATTTACTTAAAACAAATATATATATTTGGTGTGTGTGTGTCTGTGTCTACACAATGTGTCCATGGAGCGCAGAGGATATCTTGAGGGAATTGGTTCTCTCCTTCTATCATGTGGATCCTGGGAATTGAACTCAGGTAGTTAGGTTTGGTGACAAGCACCTTTACCTGATCAGCCATCTTACCAGACCAAAAACTGTTGGTTCTGGGGGAGGAGGGAAATACACTTAAACAAATGCAAAAGTAGATAATTTTTATTCAAGAAGCATTTGTGTATCTATCATTTTGCATCAGCATTTATCAACTCAGCCAGTTTCATTTGTTTGAGTGCCTTCTTATTTTTCCTTCCATAAAATATTCAAGCAAATCTCAGGCATCATGTCAATTAACTTGCAAATTTACACAATGTAAAATAAATTTGACAGCACTGCTTATTTGTTTGTGATTGCCCTGGGTCCATGAATCCACCTTGCAGTGCTCAAGAATGCCCAGTTAGTAAAAATATCTTTCTACCTCTGTATTTGTGCCACATTTATAATTATTTACATGCATTTATTTTTTATCTATTTACTCATATATGTTTTTGTTCCTATATGTAAATCACCTCTGCCAATACAGGTCACCCTTTTATATCTGTGGGTTTTACATCTGAGCATTCAACCAGCTACAGAATAAAACTATTTAAGAAAAGACTTCCTTGTGGATGCCAATACACATGAATTGATATTGTTGTCCCTGTGGATCCACTGGAGAACTGGTTCTATAATCCAGACTTTTTTTCTTGTGGTTATTCTCTGAAGATATAGCATAATATCCATTTACATAGCACTCACTTGCATTAAGTGATATAAGAGAGAGTCTGGATGAAATACATGGGAAGATGAGTGAAGTCCATATGTAAATCTTATTCCAACTTAACAAAAGTGTCTGGATAGCTGTAGACTTGTGCTGGGGGCATGCCCCGGTGGTTGACAGGTTCCAAAAAGGAAGAAAGGAGTAGGCGAAGGAAGGGGTGAGCCAAGCCACACAGTCTTGCAGCCTGACTGACTAGCAGTCAGAGTGCTTCCTTACTTATACAGAGTTCAGCATGCAAAGATAAATTCATGTTGCTCCAAAACATAGATCATACCATTTTTGATTCTGGACATGTGTTTAACCTTTTCTCATGCACATCCGGGCTCGTAAGTTCAGTCATCGTTGATAAACCAATACAGAACAGAGTTATCTTTTACATTCAATTCTCCTCAAGGTTAGTAATCATTGACAAAGAGTTATCTTTTATAATTACTTTTACTCATCAACTCCAAAACCCAAATTTTAAGAATCTAGAGGCATATGACAGCCCATTCTCAGGCTTGCAGTTCTTGTGGCTTCAAGGATGCTAGACAGAAAGAAAATCTCCAAGTCAGCCCGGGGAGATTGCCATGTCCCGAGCAGTGTGTTATTAACTCTTAATGGTCAGAGTGTCCAAGAAAATCCTCAGGCCAAAGCTGCTGCAGTTATTATTTAAATTCTGGCATAATATAATGTTTACATTTTATATCTTTATAGAATTTGTTTATATGTCTAATGCTGGCATTCTTTGTTCCTTGGTCATAAGACACCACAGTGGCCCTGCACGAGCTAACTTTTCTAAGAGAGGGAGACCCTGACACCTTATTCCTTTGTCATCTTTCCACACTGTTCCTTGTCCATCAATGCAAACCCTTGTGTATGGCAGAGGTAACTTCAGCTTATCTAACTTTGTTGCTATATATGTCATGTAATCACCTGAGTGTAGGAGGAGACTTGTAATTTGATCTGCGGCCACCTCCTCTAGCCCACCAAACCTTGTGGACCATTTTAGGTTTACTTTGGTTTGATTATCTTGTTCCTGAGTAAGTACATGGACAGATGTTATAAGAATATCTCATAGCCTCAGAAAGAGACCTCTGGCTTCTTTATGTGTGTCACAACCTCCAAAGTATAAGGAAGACCTTCAAGTAGATAAGGATATCTTCCTAAAAGCAGGAGGGGCAGTATACTTAGGACTTTCTGGGGAAGCTTAGAAGCAGTACTCCTGGGAGAAGGCATAAATGATTCATAAGAGATTATCCATCAAACCGATGCCCTCAAATTGTACAAATATTAAAAGTGCCCCAAGTATGTAACATGCAGAGATCAAAACCAAAAGTGGCACAGTAACCACCATGCAGCTCAGCTTTGCTGGGTCTTTGTTAGGCAGCTGTGTTGGCTTTGACTTTTTCCATTCCTATCAAATATGTATGCACCAGATTTTGATATTGGAAGGGTCCTGGAACCATTCGCCTGTGAACTCTGATGGACACCCATATTGATCTGTGCCTCTATACATCTATAATTATATTGCCATTCTTCACCATATGTTTATATATACTCTATATACTAAAAGAGGTTCACTATCAAAAGATTTCTTAACAAGTCAGTCCTACATTATAGAATGAGAAAACTTCACATCCTAACATTCATCTAGCTAAGACCTAATTATACACTATGGATGGCATCTCTTCTACAAAAGAATTCTCATATTCCTTAATAAAGAAATTGAAAATAATTCTCCAATGAAGGGATGCTAAAAGTCTGTAGCTAAAATACAGTTGGGCAATGTCTCACTACCTGTACTCTTCCATGTTTATTGGTGAAATTATTAAGGCCACTCCATGTAGTTAAAAGGGAGGTTTATTTTGTGGGGTAACTTACAAGTGAAGGGATAGGTAGCAGGGTCTGGGAAAGGTGTGGCGCAGTCTGGCGGTGTTCTCTGGAGAACTCTGCTCGATCTAGCTCCAGTGTCCAGGGTCCAGGAACCAAGAGAGCCCATGCATTCCGCTCTCGGGTCTTCAGTGTCCTCTTTCAGCCCCACCTTGTAGGCATGACCATTACCAAAGCCTCAATGGGGATTGGAATTTCCAGGTCAAAGCTGGAATGGCTACCCACTACACATGTCATACATTATCTAGATTTCTCTGAATGCTCCATGTTGTGTTGGTCACACATATGTCCTGGGATGCTCAGTGGTCTGACCCAGGCTCTTGCTATGTTTAAGATACCCATAATGTACACACAGTCAAACATCCCAATCTCATTTGTTTGCACATTCCTAGCATTCGTAATGCTGAAGAAGCTCCAGATCCCAGCAGGAGGTTCAACAAACTGCTTACATCAATTATCCACAACTCTGGAAAGAACTGCTATTGTCACTGGAGATCTCTGGACAGCTTCTTGTTACACTTTCTGTTTTCTGCAACCTTGCTTTCACTTCTGACTTGCAGGCTGATGTGGCTCCTTTAGGCTAAATGAGTGCCTTCTTGATTTTATTTAAAAAAATTCAGAAATTTTCCTGAAGGTAAGGGTACTGATGCTTTGACACTCCCATGAATATGACAGCTCAAGGAATCAGGGGTATGCAGGCTCCCTCTAGGGGAGGTTTTGGATGGTATTATTATGGTATTATGTCACCAAAGACTCCTCCAGCATCATAATGGGCTTATACTTAAAATTCAAAGACCATTTAAGAGGGGCCGGGGATTTAGGTCGGCAGTAGAATGCTTGCCTAGCAAGCTCAAGACTTGGTTTGGAAAACACATCAGGAGCAACTGAAACAAAAGCAAAGAACATTTATGAGAATGTATTATGTCCCAGAGAGCATATCAGATGTTGGGATACCTGGGCTTTTCCAGAAGCGCTGTCCCTGGTGCTGAAGAGGTGGCTCAGTAGTTAAGTGCACTGTCCAGAGAACCCAGGTTCAAATCACAGAACCACATGGCTCAGAACCAACAGTTGCTGAAGTTCTAGGGGAGCCAGTTTACTCTTCTGACCTCTGTGGCATCACACACACACACATGGTACACATAGAGGCAGCACACTTGTACAAATAAAGCAAATATTAAAAACAGTAAATGGTCCCTACAATAAATGGTCATGTAGACATTAAAAATATCAATTTAATATGGTATAGGCTGGGCCATTTTTCCTTAATTTCTTTCTCCCCTACATTCTGTGTTGTTGTCCTCAGGGTTCTGTCACTGGTGTGCCCTCTTTGCTCTCTCTGTGGGCTCCTCGATTGCTCCTATAATCTCTCCTCTTCTCCTTTTATGGTGTATAGCCTAGTTAGGTGATCTCATGTACTCTGTCACAGGATTGGTAGAAGTGCTTCTGACTGAGATCTCTCTCTTCCATTACATTCTAGTTATATATTTAATGTTGCTGGGCCTTCACTCTTCCTCATCAAACCTGCGATTCCTCTTCCATCGGTGCCTGGCTCCTGCATCCCAGTGTGGCTATTTACCCCGACTCTCTCACACCCCTCCCCTTGTTCTCTGTGCACCGCTACAGGCAAAGCGTGACCGCCCTCTTCCCTTTTTCATTGATCAAACTTTTCCTCCATTTTCCATTAACACTTCAATTTCAGTAGCTTTGTCTCGTCTCTTCCTGGGAACATTCCCTCAAATTATCAGATGCCTCTGCATTATTTTCTCTTCCCAATCAATTTCTCACCCCAGCAGTCCTTATAAACTACGCAATGAAACATAGAGCCCAGAAAGAAAACATAAGATTCTCCTGATTTAGATTGCTAATGACTCTCTACTATCTACATGATCAGCTCAAATTCTCTATTAAGGATAAACTCTCCAAATTTGGACTGTTTATACAGTTTCACTCCATGATTACATCTGTTCCTTCACTCACCTGCACCTATACCCTGCAATATACATCCATTCTGACATTTATATTTTTTTTTACTGCTTTTCTCAAATAAAAAAAAATCCATTTTCCTACTTTCCCTAGAAAACATCTGGTCATGCTAAGACCCAGCATTTCTCCCTGTGATACCTTTGCTCTTGTGCATGTTCGTCCCTCCCCTGCACCCTGCATGCTCTGTAAGGACCCTCACTATTTCCTGCAGCACAGAGGCCCCATTCTACTACCACATTCACTGTAAAGCAAAACCAGAATTGGATTCACCTCCGAGTTATCAGTACAGAACCCAATGCCTGATCCACAGAATATATAAAAATGAATGTGTATTAACTGAAGGAATGATACGAAAAATTACAGGTATTTAATGCAAACCACCTACCTACTTATATTTATAAACTTGGGATCTGTGGCCACAAATACTTGATTCTTTTTTTGTAAAACACTTACCATATTTTATTCCTCAAATCTCCTTGTATTTGGTTAGCTTGATGCCAATTTGACACAAGCTAGTGTCATCAGAAGGAGTATCAGTGGAGAAAATGTCTCTATAAAATAGCACAGAAGGTAAGCCTGTAAGGCATTTTCTTAATTAGTAGTTAATTTGGGAGGGCCCAACCCATTGTTGGTGCGCCTACCCCTAGGCTCGTGGTTCTATGATAAAGCAGGTTGGGTGAGGTACAGGGAGAAGCCAGTACACAGCATCCCTCCACGGCCTCTGCATCAGCTCCTGTCTCCAGGTTCCTGCCCTCAATGCTTTTGATAATGAGCTGTAACGTGAAACTGTGAAAGAAATAAATCCTTCCCTCCCCAAATTGCTTTTGGTCATGGTGTTTCATCACAACAATAGTAACCCTAACTAAGACACTCCTAATATTTTGTCATAAATTTGGTAATTAGTTCCAGTCTTTCAGACTTTACAGCCCATGTTAAAATCTAGACATTTAGTGTTAACAGGTCCTGAAACAAGCCATAAATCTAACTTATGATCAATCTTCACGTTGAATGTTAGCGCTAAGTGTCCTGGTTAGAGTTTTTAGGTTCCCCAGCATTTGAATCCTACTTTCTATGTTTCTGCTGTGGAGGAGAGTGCCTTGGAAGAAGATGCATCCACCATATTGCCTTCTGCCAAGCAGATTCACTGACTGGAACATCAATGATTCTGGAGAGGTGCAAATGGTGCAGGTTCAGAGCCTGATTACAGTTTACCTTGGGCTCTATTTAGCTTTATAAATAGCCATCCTTGCCACTTCTGTATCTGCCCTAACATCCTGTGACTAGCAGATGAGGCCTTTGGGAATGTATCAACTTAACAAAATGCTGTTTTCTACTAACCCAAAGCTGAGCATGTCATCTGTCAGCATCTGAGGCACACAGCAGAGGCTTCTCTGCTTTGCTTGTCCACGTTTCCACCAACACATTTGAAAAGCATCTTGCCTCATGACTTTCTTTTTTCCATTTCTATGAAATTACGTCAGTGTTGGAACATGGAATTTGGGGTAACCTACATCAGTGTTCTGAGGCCATGATCACTCATATGTGGCTTCAGAATAATCTATATCTTGTCCCCTTTCAAGTGAAAATTGTGTTTTTGTGTCCACACTATTATGCAGCTGAATAGGAGGGAGAGCCTGAATCCTAACCAAAGATGCAGTGCCTGAATCCTAACCAAAGATGCAGTAATCTCATTTAATTTTGATTTAGATCTAGGGTTCTGTCCTTGCTGCTGTTGCCTAGGATACAGCCATGAGACCCAGGCTTAGCTAACTAGACCCAAGTCCTCCTAACCATGGACCACATTCATTTGCATAGCAGTCCTACCCATTTCCCAGGGTAGGTGATGCAGCTCATACTGCTTTGTCTCCAGAAGCAGAGGAAGCCCTGTTCTCTCATAGTTCCTGTGGCCTAGGCACCTACCTGGAATTTCCACATTCTGCTCATTTCCAAACCTTATTCCCTAAACTTCCCAATGTCTTTGATAATGTGATTTCTCTTCAGTTGGTCAATAAATTTCTGTTTTTAGTTTAGCTAGCAAGAATGCTTAATAATATTACGTACATAAAGATTTTCTTTTTTCTTATTAAAATTTATTTGTGTATTTATTTTACATCCCAAACTCAGTTTCCCCTCCCTCCTCTCCTCCCAATCCCTTCCCACTACCCTTTCTGTTCCCACCCCCCAATTCATTCCTCCTCTTTTTCTGTTTAGAAAAGGGCAGGTCTCCCATGAGTATCAACAAAACATGGCAAATCAAGTTACAGTAAGACTAATCACTTCCCTTTGCATTAAGGCTGGGCAAGGTGACCCAGTATGAGGAGTAGGGTCCCAAAAGCCTGCAAAGGAGTCAGAGACAGCCCCTGTTCCCACTGTTAGGAGTCCCACAAGAGGACCAGGCTACACAACTATAACATACATGCAAAGTGCCTAGGTCAGTCCCATGTAGGCTCCCTGGTTGTTGGTTCAGTTTTTGTGAGCCCCAAAGATCCCAGATTAGTTGATTCTGTGGGTTTTCTTGTGGTGTCCTTGACCCCTCTGGCTCCTACAGTCCTTTCTCCTCCTCTTCTGCAGGATTCCCAGGATTCCGCCTAATGTTTGGCTGTGGTCTGTCCTTGTTTCCATCAATTGCTGGATGAAGCCTCTCTGATGACAGTTGGGCTAGGCACCAATCTGGTCACAGGAGATGGTCAGTTCAGGCTACATATCTGCTATTGCTAGGAGTCTTAGCTGGGTTCAGCCTCGTAGATTCCTGGGAGATTCCCTTGTGTCAGGTTTTTAACCTGACTCCAAAAGGCACCCCCTTGCTCTTCCAGTAGTTTCTTCCAGTACTCCTTCCCCCAACTTGATCACTCATGCTCCCTTCCTCACTTGCCCTCAGTCCACTCACAAAATCTCTTCTATTTCCCCTTCCCAGGGATATCTGGATGGTCCCCCATGAACCCTTCTTGTTAGTTAGTTATTGGGTGTGTGGATTGTAGCATGATGTTTCTCAGCCATTTGAGATTCTTCTGTTGGGAATTCTCTGTTTAGACCCCATTTTTTAAATTGAATTATTTGTTTTGTTGATATCTAGTTTCTTGAGTTCTTATATATTTTGAAAATCAGCCAGCCTTCTGTCAGGTGTGGGGTTGATGAAGAACTTCCCACATTTTGTAGGCTGCCGTTTTGTCCTATTGATGATGTCCTTTGCCTTACAGAAAATTTTCAGTTTCATGAGGTCCCATTCATTAATTGTTGTTCTTAGTGCCTGTGTTATTGGTGTTCTGTTCAGGAAGTTGTCTCCTGTGCCAATGCATTCGACGTTATTTACCACTTTTTCTTCTATAAGTAAGGCTCAGTGTGTCTGGATTTATGTTGAGGTCTTTGATCCACTTGGACTTGAGTTTACACAAAGATTTTCAAGTGGAAGATTTTGTGCTGATAATCTCTAAATTAAAAATGAATGTGGTTTCTTCATTAAATGCATTGAGCACCTCCATCCTGAGTGATCAGCACAGAGGCAATGTTTTCTTCTATTAGCCTACCAGGGAGAAGCCTCAGGGTGAGCAGCACAAGTAATTTATGGACAATAAGCACTGCTTTGCCTTTAGATATTTATCTCTTTTACATGCCTTTCCCCAGGTGCCATCTGAAAGGAGAATAGTGGGCGGCTAATGAAGGTGTTCTCAGTGGTATTATTTGCAGCCTTGAGAATAAGGAACAGAGCAATTGTCAGCAATCATAACCAGATGTTGCAAAGCTCTATAAGCCTTAATGGCTGTTGTTTCTATACAGCTTTTCAGAAGGAAAAAAATCAATAACACTAAAAGAATTATCTATGGGGAGAATTTCCTGGCCATTTTTCATAAGAAAATTACCGTATAGAGACTCGATTGTGCTCTTTGGATATACTTTGAAAGTTGAGAAGCTGAACAGTTGTGTTTGTACTTGCATGTTTGGATTCTGTGAGGATTTTCATGAATTATCTTTGTGGCATCTACAGTACCTTTACTACTGAAAATTGTGCATGGTGCTGGACTTCAGCAAATCCTGAAATGGTATGAAAGAGAAGCAAATTCTATTCATCTGAAAACATGTAGCCCTAAATGGAACAGATGTGAAGTCTCAAGATTTGAATGTTTTTGAAGCTGCAGATTCTTTCCCCATCTTAAATTGGACTTCAGGTGGCAGTAAGCACAGTGGGTCATGTGTATGTGAAAGCATTCTGGTATTTTCCTCCTATGAAGACACCAGACTCATAGTCAGTTCCAAGAATAATTTATCAAGGTGTTGGAATCTGAGCGAGTTTTGAAAACAAAACCCTATAGTATCTACTATGATGTCCAAGCATGGGCCCTGGATTACATGTATCAGAGTCACTCCAAGGGCATACTGAAATATAGATTCCTTGGATTCACCCTATACACTGCCTAAGAACCCTTGTGGGCAGAGACTCTATGTCTGCCTATGATATTTAACCTCTCTAAGTAGAAGCCATTGATAATGTCTCTTCACAAGCCTTTTTGAATATTCTTGTTAAAAGTAGAGTTATTTCAAGTCAAAATTAGAAATACATATTTGCAAGTAGAGACTACCTTTTCACCCATTATCTCCCCATCACCTACTGGTTGTCCTGTTCTTAATATTCTATCATTTTCTGAATGACCCATCGTCTGGTAACTTCTTCTATCACAGTTCTACACTAATGCCTTCTATTTCTTGTGACCCAAATACTCAGAATTTTGTCACCACATTCCTCAACCCATCTTTCTATTAGATGAGTCATCTAAAGCAATAATGAACTATTAACAGTTCTGTGTAACCAATGTGAGAGAGTGGAAGAAAATTGTCAGGGCAATTGTTTCTGCTGGAGGGATACTCACACATGTAACTGAATCTCCCCAGTGAAGAGCTCCTGGGTGACTCACTCTAACAGCCCCAAATTCAGCAATTTTTAAAGATTCTACACATTTTTAGAGATTATCTAACATAGTATCTCCCAGGTTCACTCATACTGCTATAAAACAGAAGATTGTATTTTTCTTAAGGTAGAACACTATTCTATTATATAAATGCATATATATATATATATATATATATATATATATATATATATATATATAACATTTCCTCTATCCATTCACTGACAGACATTTAAGTTGTTACTGTATTATCTCAACTGTTGTAAATAGTGCTGTAACCAACATCAAAGTTCACTTATCTCTAGAGCATACTTCTATATCCACAAGTTGGGTTGATGAATATGTTGATTCTATTTTTAATTTTACGAGGAACCTCTGTAGTTTCTGTAATGGTGGTACCAACTTGTATTCTAACCCAAAGCATATAAAGGTCTCATTTCTCTAGCTTTCTCCTTAACACTTATCTTTTGCCTGATTGATAATGATCATTCTAGCTTCTTTGATGTTAGCCTTTGTTTCGGTTTTAATTTTCATTTTTTTTCTGATTGTTAGTAATACTGACAATACTTTTCAGTCATCAGTAAGTAATATGCTATCTTTTAAATATTTTAAAATATATTTTATTTATTCCTTGAGAATTTCATACATGCATACAATGTCTTTTGATCAATTCCTCACCTCTGACTCTTCCCAAATTTCTCAACCACATTTCCTTCCCAAATTCATGAACACTTTTTTTAATGCCCCAAGTCCAATTGGCTTAGTCAGTGTGTGAGCATGGTATAGGAAGGACCACCTACTGGAGTATGGGCAACCTACCTGGGGATGAATCCTTGAAGAAAGCTGACTCTTTTCACAGAAGCTATCAACTGCTAAGGACTACAAAGACAAGGGCAGGTCTTCATAGTCATCCACTCTGTAATTTTCATTGTCTTGAACTTGTGCATGCATCTGCAGCTGTTGTGAGTTCATATGTACATCATATATGTTGCACCTGGAAAACACTGTTTCCCAGCAGTTTTCAACAGCCTCTGTTCTTACAGTCTTTCTACTACCTCTTATACAGTGATAATTGAGTCTTGATGGGAAGGTATAGTATAGATATCCTTTTTAGAGCTGAGTTCTTCAAAGTCACATATTTTAAAAGGCCAATCAGTTGTGGATCTTTGTATAATGTGCCATATTTCAAGAAGAAGTTTCTCTGATGAGGGTTGAAAGGGTGTAAAGATAAGTATTTATAAAGCAGGTCATCACCATGTCTATTGAGTATCATAGTAATAGTGGTTTCTCCCCTAAGGCCTATTACCTACCTGACCACAAGTTCTTTAGTCTAGTTAGTAGTAGCAGGCATGACTTCCATTTAATGGATTGGGCCTTAAATCTAATCAAAAAGCAATTGGTTACTCCCATAACACTCATGCCACAAAACACCAATGGGTATGCTTTGTCATGCTCATCATTAATTGTAGCTCATAGGGCTCATGA